ACAACTAGGAAACAGAGTGGGCTGTGCGTATGGGCTATGTAGAGCATTTAAATCAGGCCTAATTCTCTCTCAGCTAATCTAATTAAATACAAAGACTCATTAATTAATTTGAACACAATAAAATAATATCATTCTCCCCCTTTGTGTTCAAATGTTGATGACGCGCGAATTATCTCTGAGTATTGTACAATGACTTCCGATAGCCTACGATGACTTCATAATGTCTGAGGGTACTTCTGAAATCAAGTCTAACTCCTACGACTTCGTGAAAATCTGCAATAAGAGCAATCTGGACCGAGTCATCTGGATCTTCAGAATTTTGTAGTTTCAATGCAGCTTCTCGCAGATGGTCTTCTATGATTCTCAGTGTACCATCACAATATTTGTGAATTTCGTTCATGAGTAGGACTCGCTTGATGCCTTTGTAGGCTTTGTAGATCAGTCCTATCTCTGGTTGTGTGACGATGGTGCCTTCTTCAAAATTCTCGACCCAGGGATCTCTATTTCTTGGTGCAGACATGTTCACTTTCGGAAAATTGTTTTCTATGGTCATTTGCAGATCGAAGAGTGAATAGTATTTGACTTGTCGCATCATGAATCTCTTGAATGCGTTAAGGTCTAGATCTTTGTCCTTTTGAGAAAGTTCTCTGAAGTTGACGTATCTGTACTCGTAGAATAATTGAATCAATTCAGTAGAAACCAAGTAGTACAGGTCAACTTCAGATGCTCTTTGGATCATGCCGTTTTGTCGTTCAAACTCATAAATTGGATAGAACGTATCTTTTCCAATATGATGTATCTCAATGGCTCTAATTGCTATGATCATCGAATTAGAATGCTTGACTAATCTTTTGCGGTGTCCATAAGGATCATTCTGATCGGCAGACATGTTCCGTAGCATCCATATATGTCCAGAAGCAGCAGTTCCTTCTAAATGTTCAAGTCCTCTCAGTTCTAGCTCGTCAATCTTCTTGATGCTTTTCTCACTTCTCCAAATTCCGGGTATCAGATCTTCTTGATATGGCACAATTATTCCCACGATTTCCCAAGGTGTCTCAAAATTGTCTTCTGTATTGGATTTCCCTGGGTGCGTCTTGATCAGATCTTTGACTAAGTGAAAATCAGGAAGTGGATCATCGTAGAATTCTCCTTGAGCTATTTCTTCAGAGTCTAGTCCCATTAACTTTTCAGCAGCAGTCTTCTTAACTTCCCGAATGAAATTCAGCTGCTTGAGAGCTTCATCTTTGTTCATCTTTTGGAGTTCGTCCTTCTCATTATCTTCTATTCAGTCGAGTAATATCAGATCAACATCTTTCTCTTTTAGGTCTCTTTCTTTTCTCTTTGAACCTTGCTTCTTGGATGACGATGGCAGATCAGCTAGAATTGGGATAGAAGCAGACATAGAAGAATATGTTGCTCTCTCGGCTTGTGGGGCCTGGGGATCATTTTACTCAAAAGTGGTAGCAGTGGGTAACATAACACAAGAGTCACAAAGACTTACCATTTTCATCATACCAGAGACTAGCTCGTTCTGACGGCATGAAGACAATGGTGATAATGAAGTTGCATTGTCAGGACTTCCCAAATTAAGACTACATATTAGTCTAAGACTTAAGTACACCTGTTTTGACCAAGTTGTCCTTTCTTTTAAATTATCCCCTGCGCACAAACAAACTCCATCGATGCCATACTCACACTTTAGATCGATTCCTTCGATTCCTCTGCGCACAAACTCGATTGATCGATTGGGCCATCACCAATCCATCAGAGCAACAGCTCCATCGATCGCCGACCCCAAAATCAATTGCCGCTTCGATTTCTCTATCGATGAAAGCTCCAGCATCGCATCTTTATCTTCCCCATCAATTTACAAAAGGCTTCACCATCTGCAACGTTCCTCGTCGGGTAGTTCAACCTCCAGCACAGCTTCTTTCGTTGGTTTCGCTCGCCTCCACTGCCACCGCCTCTCTTCGCCAGATTCGCCTCTACGGTCGCCGGAGCAGGTAACTCCTCCCCTCCTCCTCCTCCTCCTCCTCCTCCTCTTCTTCTTCTTCTTCTTCTTTTCTGATTTTGAACATTGATTTTGCCAATTTCAAACTTGTATTTCATATTTTCACAAGGCCACCAGGTACTCTGCAAAACTTTTGAAGAAACCAGATCCGAAATCGAACTTGAAAACACTAGACAATACGTAGACATTAATATAAGTAGTCACTAAACAGTTTTCTCAAGTATGTACTTTACACTCAATTTATTACTTTTGAAGAAACCAGATCCACAATTGTAGTCTCCCGTATTACAATTTTCTCTTAAACAATCTCTCAAGTTCTTATATATGTACTTTACACTCAATTTATTACTTACTCCATTTCTCTTTTTATTTAGCCAAATGTGATTTTTCAAGTCAAGTGATGCCTAACTTTGACTGATTATGTATTTATACACATAATATTGATAATATAAAAGTGATATAAAAATGTTATTTATGAAAAATATTATCACAAAAGTATAAAATTATTATAATTTACATTAATATATTAGTTAAAATAATTGGTCAAAGTTTACCATTTTTACTGGGAAAATCAGAGATGACTAAGCAGACCGATCCTAAGAAATTGAAGACCATGTTCAAGATTAAACAAAAGGCCCTAAATTGTAAAAGAACTATACGCAGTATATACTACACATAAGTGTATAACACGTGAAAATAATAATCTTGAAGACACACAAAGTATGTATAAAATGTAATGAAAAACTTATTTTAATTCCTAACATAAACATATCATAACAAAACTCCAAATGCATAAAAATTGATATAGTTAACTCAAGTACTATAATCCCTAATATAAGGCTGACATAAAGATATCAAAAACTTACAGAGTACGAGTATATAATAAATACTGAGTAATTAGCCAGTACTAGCTCTAGCTAGCTAGTCCAGTACTACCTCCAATAGTTCAGTATTCTAAGTTAACTATGTAGTACTCCGTACATACTACGGAGTAATGTACAAGCGGGTAAAAGGAAAACAAGTATACTGAAATCATTGAAATTTTCTGGAGTTGAGGCGTTTTATTGTGCGAAATATCGTCCAATCGTTCAATATTCCAATGTTCGAAATTGCGTATTGCGGAGTTGAGGCGTTTTATTTCCAAGGCGTATTGTGTAGGTTTCATTGCGCATTGAGGCGTAAGGCTAAGGCGTAAATCGATCTTAATGCCTAGGAAAAATTTTTATATACAATCATGAGTTAAAAGAGAATTGCTAATGGTAATATATAAACATTATTTGATATATTAATATAATCCAAATTAAAGTATGCATACGATTATACTTTAAACAAAAAATCTAATTATATGGAAAGTAAAACTCCACTAAGAATTAAGGAAAATTTTGAATTTTGAGTATAAATAATAAAAAATGGAATCTGGCTGGAATCCATTCTGTATGAGTAGTACTTCCTAGAGGGTATAATTAAATAATTAATAATCCTCTAAAGAGACACCAAAAGATATTGTATAATCACCTTGCTGCGTATCAGAAGTGTAGAAGGAACCCACTTAAAGCAATATACTTCGTACTTCGTGTACTCCTTTAATTATCATTTTCCCGCAATGAAAAAATAATACAATACCGGGTGGAGCTCTACCTCCTAAGTTCAATTGCACACCCAAGTGGTTCTGAGGCAATGGAATATGCTTTTGGCTAAAAAACAATTTTAGAATTGCACAATAATGCGCAACTCCCCTTTGATTAAGATAACTTCGATCCTGACCATTACAGTTCCTAGTATTATTAAACATCACATCCTGGGTTAGTTGGAGAATTATGGAACTGATGAAAGAGTGCTATGTGGCCGGTTGGAGAATCTAGATTACATTCTCTTTGTCTGAAAAATTTGCTCTAGCCTGAAATTTAAACAAGAAATAATGTTTCCAACGTAATTGAAAAATCTAAAAGGTAGTTCACTAATTATATTACATGTTCATATAATAAAACTGCTTTAAGCTACACTTTTATAGGCTATAATATTAGAAGCTAAAACTTAAAAGCTGATGGACAACCTGCATATACACAATGTGTACAATTTCTAAAATATTCATATTGCTTTGATTGGAATCATATCGTTATTAGAAATTCAGAATAGAGAGTTTAGGCCTTTAGGCCACTTAACTAGAAGCTCGAGGGTGTTCTTGGGTCTGTCACTAATGAAACGGTTAGTAACACAAGAGGGGGATGATATGTGTTTCTGTGGAACTGTGGCAGTTTCTCGCACACTTCTAGTATGGGTGTAGGGAAATGCAAAATAATAAAAACACAAGAATTGAACGAGGAAAAATCCTTTGGCTCATAGGGATTAAAAAATTTCGACCTCCCTTGGAGGAATTTGAACAACTTCACTAAATAGCCAAAAGATGGTTACAGGGTAAATTCTCCTAATCTACCCTTGAGTCACCCCAACTCTATCCTTTCTAGGAAGAGTTATGCACCTCTAATTTGCGGGTAGAGAGACTCTCAACTTTACAACAAAGCTCTCACACACACGATCCCAAACTGAGGAAGCTACACTTAGCTTTTTCTCGAAAACCAAGTTACAAGATAAAGAAGGGAAAAGAAACTCTATCTAGAACTTCGTGCGTAGGTTCAGGTGCCTTGGACTTCATTACTCTTCGTAAGTCTTTCTCCTTTTTATTACTCTCTCAAGCACACCTCTCTTCTTTTGGTCTTCGACTATATATATAGCCCGGAAGATGTCCGCTGATTCTCCTTTCCTTTGGAAGCTTAGTAGACTTTCCTTGATATTTTTGAATTACTTTCCTTCCAGTAGTTTCTCATTTATTTGTTCGATCAAGAGTAAATCAACTCATGATTTACGTACAACTATATAAGGAAGCACAGATTCATTTATCATGTATCGAATCAGAAACTCAAAAAAAGAGACGAAGAGGTAGAGGGAGAGGAGGGAGAGTTGAGCCTGATCGGAGATGGGTGGTTGGGTGTTGCCGTGCACGGCGGAGCCGGAGTGGACCCTAATCTTTCCGTGGAGCGCCAACAAGAAGCCAAGGCACTGCTCACTCGTTGCCTTGATCTCGGCATATCCGCCCTCCGGTCGGGTCACCCTACCCTCGATGTCGTTGAGCTCGTCGTGCGTGAATTGGAAACGGACCCTCTGTTCAACTCCGGCCGTGGATCTGCTCTAACGGAGAATGGGACGGTGGAAATGGAGGCGAGCATCATGGACGGGAACGGCAGGCGATGTGGCGCCGTATCGGGGCTGACAAGAGTGAAGAACCCCGTCTCTCTCGCCCGCCTCGTGGTGGAGAAGTCGCCGCACTCTTATTTGGGCTTTTACGGTACCGAGGAATTCGCCAAGAAACAGGGAGTGGAAATGGCAGAGAATGATTACTTCGTGACCAAGGAAAATAAGGAGATGTTGAAGCTCGCAAAGGAAGCCAAAACCATTGTGTTTGATTACAGAATTCCACTAAAAAAATGAGCGATGTGGCGGCGGAGAGCCCAATACAGATGAACGGGCTTCCGATAAGCATTTACGCGCAGGAAACGGTAGGATGCGTGGTGGTGGATGGCGAGGGGAGATGCGCCGCCGCTACATCAATTGGCGGGCTAATGAACAAGATGGACGGAAGAATCGGTGACACACCGATCATCGGCGCCGGGACTTACGCATGTGAAGTCTGCGCCGTGTCTTGCACCGGGGAGGGGGAGGCAATCCTGCGTGGGACCCTTGCTCGTGAGGTGGCATCGCTAATGGAGTACAAAGAGTTGGGCCTCCAAGAAGCGGTGGACTATGTGATCCAGAAGAGACTGGACCAGGGACAAGCCGGGCTTATTGCAGTGTCCAATAAGGGAGAGGTGGCCTATGGTTTCAATTGTGTTGGGATGTTTCGGGGGTGTGCTAATGAAGATGGGTTCATGGAAGTCGGGATTTGGGAGTAATAAATACTTTTTAAAACGGATTTATTCCTCACTTTTCTGGATTGTGATTTGATCAATTAATAAAACTTAAGACCTTTTTTTGTTAAAAAAAGATTCATTTATCATGTCAATATGCAATGGATATTAAGTAGCAATAAGATATTCATGTAGTTAAGTCACACTACGATAATATTCTTACCAAAAGAGATTTCGGTTGACCTTTATGGAAAGATAACTTGTTCTCTTTGCATATATAAAAATGTTATGGTCAATTACCATTAAAGTGGCAAAGTATTTATTTAAGTGACACATATATATAAGTTAAGTCATTAAAGTAAATGCTTAGTCATGTATGAGAGATGTGCCACGTGTAAAATAATTTAGCTTCATAGATGAGGTATTGTCAGGCAGGCAAATATCAATTAAATCACTTATCAAGCATGACAATTATTTATATCAAACAGAACAAAGTTCGTTCCTGATAGAACCGGTAGTAGTTCTATCCAAAGGTCCCACCTGCATGGTTAGTTAAATAATGAATTATTGTTTTGGACCCAAGGATAGTGTTCATTTCTGTTATAATATTATTTTATTGTGTTCAAATTAATTGTAATTTAATTAATGATTCTTTGTATTTAATTAGATTAGCTGAGAGAGAATTAGGCCCATTTAATCTAGCTCTAATAAGCCCACACGCCTAAGCTGGTTGTTTCCTAATTAGAATAAGCAGTTCAGATATCTCTCCTATAAATATAGGTTGAGATGGCCGAATCTGCTCTCTAAATCTCTACACATTCTATTCTGCATATTATTCTCTGTAGAGCCAGTAGATTAGAATTCTCTCTCTAGCTTATTCATCCGAGTACCTTGTATTGTTCTTCATGGATTCATCATTATATATAAACCGTATACGTTTTTGGTGAGATTTCTCTTCTACTGTTTAAATTCTTCCAATTATTATTAGATTAATCGACTGTTGAAATCTGGGCATACATCAAACAATTGGTATCAGAGCCTCGGCGCAATTCTGTTCATCTGATTCCTTGAATTTTTCCGGAATTAATTTGATCAAAATCACAATTTTTGGTTGAATTAATCTCTAGATCTGTTCTTGGAAACTTACCATTTTAGAAGGTTTCTGCTACAAGGAAAGCTACGGAAGAAGAACCCCAGTACAATTTGAGTTACCAAATTTTCGGTCATCCGAGATCTTCTGAAATACGCTGGTCCGAGATCACCATATTTCGAAAGACCGAAATCACTGCATCCGAGTTTCCTAATTCGGACTTCCGAAATTATCCCATCCGAATTTTTAATCTCGGACATCCGAAATTAGCATATCCGAAATCACAATTTCGGACGCCCGGAAACAGTTCACCCGAAATTATAATTTCGGACACCCGAATTCTTCTCAGAATTTCTAATTTCGGACACCAGAATCATCCTCCGAAATCAGCATCCGAAATCTTCTTAAGCAGTTCCAAAATCCTTTTAATTTTTTTTCGAACAGTTTTCGCCTTTAAGATCAACAACAGTCATGGAAGCATACACTCAGAAGGGGAGAATTTGCTGTCTGGAAAGTCCGTTTTATCATTTTCATTCGAAGCCGAGACAATGGGAAGAACATTCTTATCTCTCTTAATGAAGGACCACTCGAAGTTTGGGTTGATGTTCCAGCTATAAATACAAATAATCCTCCCACACCAGCGGTAAAGCATTGAAATCTAAGGATGACTACACTGAACCTGAGAAACTGAGAGCAAAGGCTGATCTTCTTGCTGCTACTTATCTGTTACAAGCCATTCCCAATGACTTGTTTATGCAAATTGACAGCCTTACCACTGCTAAGGACTTGTGGGATGAGATTCATCAGATCATGCAACACACTGATGTTGGAATTAAGTCCAAACGAGCTCACACCTTGACTACATATGACTCCTTTGATGCGAGACCTGATGAAGAGCTGGAGGACACCTATCAATGTTTTCTAATGGTACATAACGAGATGAAGAAGATCATTATCCGCAAAACCAATATGGAAGTTAACCTTCGCTTCCTGAGGTCTCTGAAGCCCGAATGGAAGAAAACAGCCAAACGAATCAGACAAAACAAAGACCTAGATGAGCTGACCATCCATAATCTCTATGACTGTCTAGGTGAATTCTCTGAGGATATTCGTGAAAAAGTCAATTCTTCAAAGGGTAAGAGCATTGTTGACACACTTTCTCTCCTTACATCTGAGATAAAGAAGAAACAAAAAGCTCCAAAAATTACCTTTGAAGATGACTCATCCGATGAAGAGAAGAACATGTCTGATTCTGATCCTGAGATTAATGAACTGAAGAAAGAGCTGGCTTTGCTGACCAACATGACGAGGAAAATTAACAAGAAGTTCACAAGATTCCGAAATCCTGCTTCAAACAACAAACAACGAACTTCTTCTTCTAATTACTCTGAAAGAGTCAGCAGACCATTGGTGCTACATCTGCTGAAAATGAGGTAAGTAACCTAAACTCTTTAATTTCTCAACAAAATGACAAGATGAAAGAGTTAATCACTTCTATTAAAAGAGAGAAAAACAAAATAAAGGAACTCAAAGATAGACTTGCTAAAAATCAAAAGGTTCTAGAAAAACAAGTGTTGGAAGGAGCATTTGAAACTGCTCGCTTAAAAGATTCACGTGATAGAGTTTCTAAGTTAGAGTCAGAAGCAACTAAGTTTAAGCAAACTGTTAGTGACTTAACTAAGGAACGAGATGAGAATAAATGACAATGTTCTGAAGCTGTTATTCGCTATAATTTAATCAACAAAGAACGAGATCAACTTTACTCTAAAATAAAGGAGTTAGAGGATATCTTAGCCAAGAAAGGTCAAACCGAATAGACAATTCATCTTTTGAACAGTAAAATCAAGAATAGACTCGACTGAAAGGAGAGGGGCTTCTTTCTTTCAAATATGAAAAAAGGGGGAGTGAGGGCTTTCCATTCTTCCTTCCCGCCCTCACTTTATTGATGGGACATTTTTATCCCCTTTTCCTCTCATCCTCCCCCGATTCTGGTTCAGGAAAGGGTCAACGCAAGGATCTTACTTCGAAGCAATCTCTGGAGGGTTCCCTTATCCGAACGGGTCTTGCAAGAAAATAGGGACTTGGCTTTCAAAACCCTGAAAACTTGAAAAGGTTGATTGCATTCAGTTGTACGACATAAGGTACATGAACGTAAGGTTAACAAAGCTAATGAAATTTACTAGTGCTTCTGAAACCGTTTAGGAAGAAGAGGAGAAAAGGAAATGTAGGGCTAAAGCTGAAATTAGTTTTGATTATACTGCTCTCAATGACAACTATGCCACTAGAGAAATTCCTTTGTCAAATGACTATCTTACCCATTCTCCTCCTGAGAATCATGACACGTCCAGTGAGGAAGAAGCCTCAACCTCAAAAGTTTCTGAACCCTACATTCCTCCTCTCATTAAACAATTAGCTGATCTTCACTCATCTTTTGAAGAGGAACGTGAAAAGTTTAAACTTGAAAAAGAAAATCTTTTAAAGAAAATTTCTGAATTGTCTGACGGATCCTCTCAAAGCTCAAAATCTTCTAAGACATCCATTTCTTATGATCATGCAAAGAAACAATTTTGAAAAGAAAAGGAACTTAATTTCTGCTCCACATACAGGAAAAGTTTTCTCAAAATCCAATACAGGAAGGATGACCTAGATTCCGAAGAAGAAGTCAAGCGAGGATACAAGACCTGAGCAGACGAAGAAGATTTCTAAAATCTTTAATTTTGTGGAAAAGTCTTGTAATAGATTTAGAAATTGTTTTCGTTCTCATTCTCCATCTAGTTCCATTAGTTCTTTTTCTTTTAGTTCTCCAAAGCTTTCCTCTTCTCACTCTAGATCTGTGGATTCTATTTCAAGTGACTGTTTTAAGTGTCATCAATTTAATCCTTCTCTTTTTTCAAAACGTGATGTGTGTGATGTAAATGCTAATAATGATTGTGTTACTTTCTCTTCTCTGAATGGTAAATGTCTGAATTATCCTTTCAAGGTATATTCTGTTAAACATCTCAAAAGATTGGAAAAAGAGAAAGTTTTCACTAATTCTGAAGCATCCCACTCACAATCCCAGAACCTTCCAAACAAATTTCATAAAGTCAAGCAAGTCTGGGTTCCTAAAAGTGATCTGATTAAAACTGATTCAATTCTTTCTTCACATAAAAAGGATGGACCCGTCCTTAAATGGGTACCTAAGGCTGCTTAATTTTGCAGGTCAGTCATGCGTGGTACTTAGATTCAGGTTGCTCCACACACATGACTGGGAAGAACGAGTTGTTGAGTGAAGGATGAACAAGGTATCACCATTCTGAGGTGTAGACGCAAATATGGTCTCTACACCATTGTTCTGAAAACTTTGTTTCCCAATATAGACGTTTGCTTGCTATCAAGAGCATCCTCTGAACTCAATCCACTGTGGCATAAGAGGATGTCTCATCTGAACTACTATGATCTACACACATTGTCATCAAAGAAGCTTGTTACTGGTCTACCAGCAGTACAAAGCAAATGTGAACATCTATGCGATTCTTGCGCACTTGGAAAAATGAAAAGAGCTTCTCACAAGGCGAAAATGACGGCATCTACTTCGCGCCCCCTTGAATTGCT